AGACTGAGTGATGCAAAGTCAGAAAGTATTTCGGCACCATTTCCATAATGCAAGATAATTTTCACCAGGTGTAGATTCACTGACATTCTGTTACATCATACTTAGAGGTAAACAGCCCGCAGTGGGCTTGGCTGAATCTCAATGCGTCTGTGTGGCTAATGGAAATAAGACTGTATTCAGCAAAGCATCCTCGGTCAGGCAAGCGCAGCTGGCGCCCACACACACTTTGCTAGATGACTCTAAAGCAGAGACGTGCAGTACAAAAGACAGATGCTACTGAAGTGCAATTGCTTGTTAAACACTCGGGCAAGTACATACTAAACCCTATGTTACTATAGTATAATGTTGTTTTTCCTCAATGATCTTTAACACATTTAAACTTGTAGTGATTATTTGTAGGTTTTCATTCATTAATAGATTTTTTTGGGTCACTGGTTATGGTTAGGGTTAGGTTAAGGCCAGTGTGTGTGTGTGTGTGTGTGTGTGTGTGTGTGTGTGTGTGTGTGTGTGTGCGCGCGTGTGTGTGTGCGTGTGTGTACGTGTGCATGTGTGTGCTTGTGTGTGTGACAGAGAAGAAGGATAAAAAGGAAAAAGCCTAGGCGTCAAGTTACCCTCCACTCATGGGTCAGATAAGAAAACAATAATGTAATTTGCAGTCAGAAGCCCTTTGAATGACATTCATTGATTGAAATGTCATCTGTGAGAAAGGACTAAACAGTCTTGTGTACATAATAGTCAGACTGAAAACAAAGCCACTCAAGCCTGCTCCCAATGGGGTCAACAGCGCTATAGTGAATCAATATCTCAATTTAATTTTAAACACATCTGCTTTGTCAAGGGAATCAGTGTCAGTGTCAACCCATAAATCAAAGCTCAGTTTGAACAAGAGAAAGACAAAGATGAAGCCTGTCTCGTCATATTGTTTTTATTGGAGAAGTTTGCTGCAGATGCAGACGCACACACTCTTACCCATAAACAGACTGACGCACAGATGATATGAATGAATAATAACATGGCTACAATGGGGTGACAACTTATTTTAGTGTGAGTAATAGTCTTGTTCATTAGGAATGACAGGGGATCCCCTGAAGGAATTCAGCAACATGGAAAAGCCATGAAACTAAAATGTGAGCTCTTAAACAGATGAATTTGAGAAAGGAACATCTCTACCTTGGTCCTCCCCCTCCCTCTCTTTCTCAATGTCAATTTTCAATTTCAGTTATCCTTTAGTTGCATGAATGGTTGGTATCCATTTGTGATAAAGCAATACAATATCAAACTGTGATGGAACAGAATAATGCATGACAATACATAAACTATACTATGATCTAACTGAAAAAGTCTTAAAAAGAGACGATAAAATGGGGAAACTAAAAAAAACATACATAGTATATGTGCATACAAATATCTGCATCTTCTCATAAGATAATGTACATATAGAAGGACTCTCTGTTCTTTGTGATTGGCAGATATCGTTCTGTGGTCTAGGACAGCTTCTCCTCTAAGCTTTGGTTTTCATTTGGAGCAATCTGGCATTTATGATGCTGCAGAACATTGTGCCTAATGTGCTTATTACTCAAATTCCTCCATGATTATTGAGGTCCCAGTAGACACAAGCCTTCCAGATATGATGAAAGTCAGGAAATCCTACTCTCATCACCATACTGATCAAGAGTTAGGGAAGCTTCTCCCAGCCTAGAGCCATGTGGTGTCAGCTCTGTCCTTATGTACTCAAACCCACATGCTTCTGCTCTTCTCACAGCCTATGTTTTCATACTTGACTCTGTCAGTGTGGTAGGTTTGTATGGAGCCCCAAAGTGGTCAATATTAAATAAATATAAGACATAATTAAACAAATAGTAATTTGTTTGAATAGATACATAAGCCAATCATTTTTTTAAAATAATTTAATTCATTATTCAAATAAAATGGAAACTAAACTCTTATGAAATGTTATTTAATTTTTAATTTATTTTAGAATTCCCTCTTTCAAAAGTTGTTTTTTATTTCATGATGTCACTTTTCATGACAGTGAATCTAAATCCCACAAGTGCCTGCCAACAGTCATGTTTCCCCAGCCTCGTTAGCAGGCTCACCATCTGTTACCAAAATTTAGCTAACTAGCTCTTGTTAGCTAGAGCAACAACAAAGCCAAAGTAGTGTTGCTGAAAATAAACACAATACACAGTTGTAATACTCCTTTTATGTATCTTACCAGGTTACACGTTACCTAACTAGACAGCTAACTGGCTAAGTTGACTCGTTGTAGCCAATATGGATCTAGCTAGCTCACTAGCAGGTGGTTAGTATGCTAAGAGAGTCAAGGGGTGCATGTAATTGTCTGAAAGCACTTTATGTGTTCATATGATTATTTATTTCATAATGTAACATTTATTTACTAATATTGAACTATTTGAGGCCCTATATATTCGGTACAATTGGCTTTTTGTCTTTTATTTTAGCCTTCATCCTCTCTTTCTCTTTTAACGTCTCTCTCTGTCTTCCACCTCACCCAAATATCACATTTGCTGATGAATGAAATGATTTAGGTCCATTCTGAACAACACACATCTATTCAGACACAAAATCCTGATATAATAATTACAAGCCAGAGAATTTGTCAGCATGGCTAAAGGGCAGGCAGAGTTCTTTAAAGTGTGGTTCAAAGCAATGTTAAGTGTGGGAATCAAAATCTTTTCTCCAGAGACTAATAGGAAGTAGAATAACATCCATTTGATTTATCCTCTGGCATGTTTCTCTCTACACTTCTTCTCCTCCATCATCTGACTCATTCATCGCTCCATTCTCTGGAGAAATTATGCTAATCATGGCGAGCCTGATACTGTTAAGCATCAGAAGTAAGTGAGAGGTGCAGTGCAGAGGTAGATGAGCAGTTCTAATTTTCATCAAATGATGGTCTTGTCTCACCAAATGGCATGCATACTTTACTGACTGGCGAGTATCCTTTTATCCCGATCCATGAGTTATTGGAGGATTACTCTAGTGACTTTACATGCAGATAAGCCAATGCATAATTTATCCAGTAAGCATTTACCTTTTTCTGCCATTTCTTTTCCTAATAGATGATAAAAAAAATAAGAATGAATGATTCTTGATAAAACTAATTACAGGAACCTTTTGACATTTTGGGAACTATACTTATTTGATATCCTTATTAGCTTACTTGAGGAGAGTTAGATGATAAGTTTAATGATAACTGTCCAAAGGTAACACAAACTGTTATTTCCTTTGGGCACATCCAGGCTAGCTGTTTCCTCTTGTTTCCAGTTTTTATGCTAAGCTAAGATTAACAGCTGCTGTCACAAAATATGTAGTCTCTAAAGAGATGGAAACAAGGTGGCTGTAACCCACAGCATATGGTGTAAACAGGACTGCATGGGCACATATGCATCTGTGTGCACTTGAGCTAGTGTATTGATCATTGCATCAGTGCTGTTCTGGACCCACAGAGTTTCAGTGAGGATAAAGAACTGTTTCTAAATGCCCCTCTCCACTCTAAAGACCCGTATGATAAAACCAATCCTCTCAGATCCACAAAGGCAGCTGAGATGTGCACACACAGTTCAATCAATATCCTGTGTTTTTTTTTTTTTGACACTCATGTCAAGGTCATGCATACAGTGAAGCCTTTGGGTAAGACATAAAAAGATGAGAACTGGGACATTGAAATGCATTATGGCAGCAAGGAGCTTATGCTTGTATTTATTTATAAGATATTGGATTGGAATAAATTAACGTCATGAGAGTCATTTTAATCTCTTATATCATATTAGATGTCACCTGCAATATTGGCACAAGGCTAGGTGAAAGATGATCTATGAGAAGATAGGGAAAGCTAATCACTGCTAAATAGCACCTCTAAGATTTTGGAAATATTGAAAAACTCTTTTCTGTCCTATGCAGTACAGATGGATGTGTCAGTAAGCTCTGTTATTAAACCCACAAAGGACATTTGTCTACAGTTTATGCCGGTCACATTTCAAAAGGTTCAAAGGATGCAATGTGTGTCTGAAAGGAACATCATAGCAATTTTCTCCTCATAATAATATGCTTCTTCTACCAAAGGGAGATTAACCCATTGATGTTTGGCGCTTTTGGGCCGGCTGAGTTTTGAAGCTGGGTGTAATACAGGGAAAAATCAGTTGTTTCCTTCTTAATTACATTCTTTTTTTTCTTGGTAATTATATTTATTATATTTAAATGATGCATTGAACCAATGGCCATTTGAAATACATTAATTTTCCATGTTTTACGAGTTCATGCGAGCAACTGCTATGAGCCTGGCAACCAAAAGTATAAATGATTGTCTTTTGCATCACAAGTTCAACGGCAAGTTAAAAATTATAGTTTTGACTCTTGTCAAAACTTATGATGTTGCTCCTGTAGCATTAAGTCTATAAAAGCTCACTATTGACACTGAACATTTTAATAATCAAACAGCACCATTAAAATGAGAGAAAGACATGACTGCAAAAGAGAGAAGAGAGAAGCTTTTCATTTATAGGAATTGTCACATTAATTGGAAAGGATCATGCAGTGCACACTGTTGTCTGATAATGATTAACTTAAACTCCCTCTTTAAGCCACAGATAAATGTTGTCAGTCCTGCATATGAGCCATAGTCAATAGATGCTGATGAGTGTACTTTGTCTTTGTTAGTGGCCTTGTCACTTCTCATTGCTAATTTCTACTGTGACTTCAAGGTGAGTTGTATGACATTAAAATAAATTCCCCTATAGGCACACACACAAGCACTCAACGGTAAACTCAACTGAGACGTACATGCACGGCACACACACACTCGCTTCAAATTGATTAAATATTTTCTACCAACGATTTATTTCAATCAAAATTTTCATCATGCTATTTAGTGTGTTTATGTAGTCTGTTTTTTGTTGGGGTTTTTTTTGCATTCACGCATCTCTTTTTTGCAATCGCGATTCAGGTAAAGATTGTCCTCGTCGGCCACCGTATGGTATCGTGGCGTTTGCTGATGTGTTTAGATTTCCCTTGGACTTCCCACAGTTACGCTGTTACCTGATAACTGTCATTTCTGCTTTACTTGATCTCATTTTTTTGCCCCACACATTACTAACACCACTGGGCAGTATTTCCTTTAGCGGATCAAGATGAGGCGCCCCGGTTTGGGTAAGAAACAAACGTTCACGTTCTTTTTAAGACCATACCTAGCTTGATTGCTACTTAGCTAACGTTCGCCAATTTTGTTATCAAATGTGAATGAATGCTCGTTGTTGTGTACGCCAGGCCCAAATTTATACAACTCTCGAAATGTAATGCGAACATAGTAGCTAACTAACTGTGTATTAATTAACGTTGTTGTTTCATAAAGGTGAAGGAGGCTCTGGGAATTATGTGGCAAGTGGATACAGTATGCATGAAGAGGAAAATGAACATCTACAGGAGGGACTGAGAGCCAAAGTCAACGCTTTGAAAAGTGTATGTAACTTCCAATTAACTATACCAGCTAGTTAACGGTTCCTGTGTTGTGTTTATTATTCTCTCTGAGAATTCGTATATTGATATTAATTTATCGACGTTTGATCTAACAGCTGTCTATTGACATTGGAACGGAAGTGAAATACCAGAATAAAATGCTGGATGATATGGTGAGTTTGACTTACATGTTATAACAAAATATGAGCGATAGAAGAAACATTCAGATTATTTGCTAAAGAAAAATCTAGACATACCACAATGTAAAAATGCAGAACTCCATTACAGGTAAATATCCTGCGTAAAGTCTCAAGTATATTAGTATTATATACTGTTGGGTAGTTTAATCCATCATATTTTCATAAGATGACCATTTATTTTGTATGATAAGCCCTAGTATACAAAGTAACTAGTTACTAAGGCTGTCAAATGAATGTAGAGGAATTAAAAAGTACACTACTGCCTTCTGAAATGTAGTGGAGTAAAAGTATAAAGTAGCATGAAATCGAAGTACTCAAGTGAAGTACAAGTAGTTGTACTCAAAGTACCGTACACAATTAATTGCATTTGGTTACATTCCACCACTGTCAAATAAGATATAACAATAACATATTCAAAGATCAGAGTGTTGTCTGTTTGCTGGCCTGTATGGACTTTAGACTTTTATCCCTCTTTCCCACACTAGGATACAGACTTTGACTCAACAGGCGGCCTGCTTGGCGCCACCATTGGTAGAGTGAAGCAGCTATCCAGAGGCAGTCAGACCAAACTTTTGTGCTACATGCTCCTCTTCTGCTTTTTCGTCTTCTTCATCCTGTACTGGTTCATCAAGCTGAGGTGATAAGAGGATCCTCCTGGATTTGGCCCTTTTAACTTCACATCTTCCTCCCCAGTCTATGCCATGCTGATGTATCTCAAAACTAGACCAACATAACGATGATGAGGAAAGGCAGGGATTTTTGTGTCTCAGCTTTACTGGTTCCTGTGAGCACTTCATACAATGACCCCAAAATCAAAATTGAGCCATGAAAGGAATCTCGCTGATGCTATTTGATGGAGTCCTAACACATTACAACTTGTGCAAAAGGTCCGAGCTGACTAATGATCACGTGAAGGTATCATATATACCATAAGTAGACAGTGCCAGTATTTGTATGTACATGATATCAGCCCAATTCACCTGAATTGAGAAGATGCATCATAACATTAAACATAACTGGAGAACATACTACTGTGTCAAGAATCTTAAAGCAGTAGTGTGCATATTGAATGGTAAACAGCAACAAATCTGTGGATTCCTTTATCAAACCACTCCTGTGTCAAAAGTGATTAAGTTATAGAATGCTAGCTGAAACAAATAATTGTATTTGCTTTTAAGAATGAATGGAAATATTACAGCATTTCTCATTCATACAAATGATTAATAGCAGTGTACGTCATTACCGTTTAAGTTTTGTTGTAAAAATGTTTTTTAATGTAAATAAAGACATTTTAAGCTCTGAATTGCCTGGTATTAGTGCACGCTACTTTAACACATCCAGAATGTGCTGAAAACATAAGGAACTGGAATTTTACTTGGTTTTATAAACTTGTTAATGATGCACAGAAAGTCAGAATCTTTGCTGGATATTTATTTCACACAACAGTCAGTTTATACACATTACTTAGTTTTATCTATTTAAAAAAATAGGTTGTCTGTAAAGGGTTAATCAATATTTAAATGAACACATTACATATTACATAACAAGCTTCATTATTCTGTGTCTGTTTCATACAGTACTGTTAAAACAGGCAAGTATATCAACCAGTCTAAACATCAGTCAAAACTGCACTTAGGTGATCTGTTTTTTTTTTTTTCTTTTAGCAATTCATTTTGAACGATTAGTTCATTATCAGCAAAGTTATGACATCACTTCTTGGGTAGCGTGTCCATGTACTTGCAAATGATTCCCAGCATGACCTCATCAGCCCCTGCACCAATCGACATTAACCGGGAGTCCCTGTGGAAAGGACAAAGTTCATACAAATTGAGGAACTTGCCCTACAATCATCTCACAGTACCTGCCACACGTGATTTACTTGGAAAAAAAAACTCCAGGAGGCAGCTTTTTGCTTCCTCAAAGCCTTGTTCCAGCTGCATTATTTGCCCCATCACTAGATGTCAGCACAGTGTAAAGTACGGGGTTTGACAGTCTAAATGAAACAGTGTTACTTGATTAAACACTGAATAAACAAGGCAGGAGGCTTCCTGCAACACTGCACAACAGGAGGCTGAGCCTAACTGCAGGTCTTCAACAATCATTAAAATTATGTGATCACATGCTGCGTTTCTGTAAAAACCATCAATTAATCTGATTCCAACTCTGGTTAAGGAATTATTTTTGACTTGTAAAATTCATTCACCGTGGTCTTAATCAAGCTCCTGCTGACTCGTGAGGTTACTGTTCCCACAAAACTATCACACCCTAACCAAAGTGCACATAGTTGGCAGCCGGTTACAATAACAGTTGGCTAGCAACCTGACTTAGAGAGTGCTACTGCAATGTCGTGGTTATGCAATAAGATATAATTTTTTTTAGGATGAGATGAACAGAGTGAACGGGTGGAAGTAAATGAAGATCAGTGCATTGTGATGCAATAAACCACTGCTATATGGTTCATTGAATAACAGGGAAGCCGTAATAGTAGTTTTAAAACCAAATCACTCAACAAAAAACGATAAAATACTATATTTCAGTTTCGTCTCACCTGTAAAATCTGCTGACCATCACATCATTGGTGAAACCCATCCCTCCCCAGTACTGGAGACAGGTGTCAGCCACTTCTCTGGCCAGACGGCCACCCTTCAATTTGGCCATGGATGCCAGCTTGGTGACATCATTGCCTTTAATGTACAATGCTGCAGGAAAAAAGGAAGGTGAGAAGTGGTGAGAGAAAAATCCCAGCAAAGAATTTAGAAGAATGGGAGGGAGGAAAACAAAGACAACAAACAAATGTGGTCACCTGTGGCCGACTGATTCAGTGATTTTCCCATTCAGACCGTTTCCCAGTGCAACTGATCAATGCCTCTATTGTAGCTATCCTCCAGAGGAACATGTATGAGCTGCATGATTTTCCCTGTTTCAGTGTGTGAGAAAGTTTGTTTGTGTGTGTGTGTATGTGTGTGCTTATCTACCTGTGCCAAACAGATGCAAACGCTTTGATGTCGTTCTGGGAAAGCAAATCTGACTTGAACCGTTCCCAGCTAGATTAATTCATTCTAAGCTGCTAACCACTGGATTGATTACAAACACAACAAGAAAACCACAAGTCCTTGGACGCCCGCCCTTCAGATGCACCAACATATTCATGTCATAAACGCTGCAGTTGAAAGCCCTTGGGTTGTATTTTGGAGGAGCTGGGTATGTGCCAATTATATAGGTCGCCAAGCCTGTGGGGTACTGACGTGAAGCCAGTACACACAAAAACAAGTTTGGTAGGGCAGGTTAGCAATTAATAGTAGGGTAGTAGGCTACCAGTAGTAGTAGCAGTAGGCTTTGATCTTTGATCTCTACAGCAATTAACACAAATAAAAATTAGATAGCACAATAACACAGAAAGACAGAGAAGACTATGTTAACATAGCTCTTAAAATGTCTAAAATATGGCTTAAAAATAAAATACCCTCCGAACAGGATGGAACGTAATTCCAGCCAAATCACATGGAGTGAAAATCCAGACACTGGTTTCAGGTGACTCATCTGTGAAAATTTTCCTTGTGTTGCTTTAGCAGTCTAGTAGCAAGCGGTAAAGCTACCAATTATTGTGCTTTCAATAGCTAGGCAAGCACAATGTTGTTCACTGTTGACTTATCACTACCAGGCTGCTCAGTGCTCTCTATCTTTGAAACCAACCTGCTGCATTATACACGGACACATCAGCCACTCAAGGCTAGTTTGGTATTCACATCATTCCTGTAGAGCTGAGTCAACCGTGGCCTCTGTTACTGGGGCCTCAGTCTTATCTATGGTATTAAGCACCATGAGGTCAGCTGCATGCAGTCATTGGGAGTGATTTTCCTAAAACACTGCACATGCAAACCAAAGCATCTACGTTTCAAATTCAGACTTTTAAGGGTAATTGTACACAAGCATAAAAGTGGATGTTGCAAATATATATTTGGTACATATACATTTACATATACATTTTTTTTTTTACTAATAAATAAAAGTCACAAACACACTTTTGCACAGGTACCCTACAGCTGTCTTAATAACACTAAACTCATTCTGTGTATCTCCATGCACTGAACCAAACCTGAAAGACGCTTAGAGGGAACAGAGCTATTCAAGTGCAGCAAACGCCACCAAACTAACAATAATCTTTCTTTTTTTTTTTTTTTTTGTTATGCTCTCTCCCCTTCAGGTGGCCCTTACCTGTAGCACGGTGGAGGAGGGAGCGGAGCAGCTCAACCTCTGTCTGCAGCTCAGCCAACCTGAAGTGGACCGACTGGTGGTAGAGGACAGGCTGCTTGAAGATCTTCCTCTGCCCTGTGTACTGGATGGTCTCCTGAATGATGTTGTCCATCATTGTCACGACTACAGATGTTAAGAGGCAGAGACGTAACGTGGGCTTTTACTAAACATCAACGACAAAAGTTTTTTATTCATATATTGTTTTGCAATTTAAAAAATCCTTTGATGGTAGCAATAGCTGAATGCATGTCCGTGAGTGTCTCTGATTTATATTATGCTGTATAAAAGTTCACCAGGCCAGACACACTAATGCATCAGTGTCAGTGATATCATGTAGATTTTCACTTCTGCTACATTTCTCATAAAGCCTGCCAAAGAAAATATTGACTCATGCTTGAAACTCAAACTCAATAGCAAGCAGCTATTTTAAAGGAGATTAATTAAGTATGTGATCTGGACTCCTTTTTTTTTATATAAACTAAAACTAAAACAGAAGTAATAGCACAAACTGACTGAACTTTTTCCTGTTGAATCTACAGGAGACAGATGACTTGGAAGAAAAGACAAAGAGGAGCAGGACAGTGAAAGATAAAGTGAACAAGTAAGTTCAACTGGGGGAGATGACGTCTGATGGCTGGATGTGGCCGGGGGAGAGGGAGAGATGAAGATCATCAAGTAAAGCTCACTCACTGTTGGCCACTGCCCAGAGCCTCTCTTCCTGGAACTGAAGCATCTGGTATGTAAAGCCCATGCCTTCCTGGCCAATGATATTCTTACAAGGAACATGGACGTCATCAAAAAAGACTTCAGCTGTGTCTGATGACCACATACCCAGTTTTTCTATCTTGCGGGCAATGTGCACTCCTACGGTGGGTAAGACAGAAAACAAAATCACTGTCACCATTCAGTTGAATTCAGTGTCATTTATATAGTGTCAAATCATAACATACATTGTCTAAAGGCACTTTACTGTTACAACAGTTCCCACCATGAGCGAGAACTTGGCAACAGTGGAGAGGAAAAAGTCTTGGAAAACTAATAATAAATATAAATAACAAATGCTATTATGAAACCGGTATAGAAATTCTGTAGAATTCTGCAGGAATGTCAAATTTTCTTTGTTTTCCTCCATGAAGAGGCCTTCTGCTTTTGTGACTGACTCCTACCTGGCAGGTTCATGGGCAAACAGATGAGAGATTTGTTCCTGTGTGGAGGCCCGTCACTGGTGTTGGCAAGGAGACACATCCAATCAGCCTGGGTACCGTTGGTAGTCCACATCTTTCCCCCGTTGATCACATATTCATCTCCTTTCCTCACTGCCTTGGTCCGGATACCTGAATCGACGAGGGTGTAAATGGATGGAGAGAGTGTGAGGACAGAAGGTTAAATGAAAAGTTTTAATGGATGAATAGGTAATATATTTTTGATACATAAATCAATAGACTTTAGAGCAGGATTTCACCAGAGCTAAGGCTGTAGTATTACTCTAGGTGTCAAACAATACATACTAATCCAGGAAAAATACCCTTTAAAATACCCTCTATATACAGTGGGGTCCAAGAAAGTGGTGAAATCTAACAACAGTGAAATTAGGTCTGTATACAGTCTGTTGCTTGCTGTATGCCGTCGTTCTCTCCTGGCAGAATATCAGTGCCAAATTGATTATAACTGCTTTATTTCTGGCACCTCAATTATTTTTTGCAGTGAATTCAAAAAGGATCCTTCAGGGGCTAGAAAGGAAATTATATGATAATAAATGACTGGAAGGCGATGAAGGCAAGACGTACTTGAGACATCAGAGCCAGCTCCAACTTCACTAACTCCGAGGCAGGCCACTTTGTCCCCCATGACGGACGGAAGGAGGAACTCTTTCTTTAGCTCAGCTGAACCAAACCTGCACACAAATAGGAAGAAATGAAAGAATATTAGTAAGAATTAGTTACTTTATGACACTAAGGAGAACCTAAGTGCATCCCTCATTGGTTTCCTTTCCAAAAGCAAGTATCTAATACTTTCTATATCTAATACAAACATGATTGTCAGGTTAATGTCTAACAAAAGTGGGATGGAATAGCAGAATCCATGCTTTAAGACAACACTGACACGTTTCAGGCAATTACAGTTCCACTGGGACAGAGGATCCTAATGCTCCCATGGTAACCCTTTTTTTTGCTGCTCTCTTAGTACTTAAACCTCATTGCAGGCAAGTGTAGATCCACTAATTAACCTCCTGAGACTGCGACTGTCTATTTCCCTGAATTCTGTCTTTTGTCACCAGCAGCTGTTTCATAGCAGGAGGATATCACACAACAAGCCAAGGCCATACAGGAGTCAGACAAACAATTACCAAATATATTAATACACATACCCTCTACGGAGTTTGGCTTTGTACAGCCCAACAGTGGGGTGCATGAGTAACGACACATGATACAGTTACAGAAGCCTGAATGATTAAGATTTTACATAAAATGTTACTCTTCACTCTTAGGTCCAATACAAGTACTTAATCATAAAGGCAAGCTTTTGGTATTTGGCCAGACCTCTCTTCGGTTCAGAGGTCTACAAGACTGAAAGCTTAGCCTCATGATTAAATGCATGTGTTGAACCTAAGGGTGCAGAGCCTTCCTTTCTCAAGACAGGATATTATTGATCTTCTTGCACATTAATATTGTGTTGTGAATGTGTCCAGCCCCGTGAATAACTGATCCCCTACTACAATTTGACAAGATGCTTTTGGCTTATCTCAGTTATATCTATACTGGATCTACTGAGCAACATTCAAGAAAAATATATTTTACACATAATGCAGTCAAAAGTGATTGAGATTATCATTAGTCTGTGTAGCAGTGCACTCCAATGTCAATTGTTTTATAATTCTCTTGCCACTGTGTTGGCAGAGTCACATCACAGCTGAGCAGATGGTGCTGCAGACTAGTAATCAATTCACTGATTTGCCTTTAAATACTCAGCCTCCAGTGCATATATTTTTGTCACAACTCTTTCATTTTTTAATATTCGAAGAAGGTTTATGTTTATGTAGGGGTGGCTAGTATATCCAGTATAAATAGCACGGTTATGGATTTAATTAAAGTGTACAATTGTCACATTACATCAGGTGAAATCTAAGCATCAGCACAATTCACTGCATGTTAACCAGAGCAGCTTAATCACTGTCAATGACAGACCAATAAAAACACTAAAATGAAAAAAAGGAAGCAGACAATCCTGATGACGAAAATGTTTCAAATGAAGGTTCTTCTTCCATAATTTGGACATGGTTTGGTTTTAAAAATTCATATTTCAAACACAATACAATTACCATCAGGATAAACAGGGCAGCAGTTTTTGCCAGGGGTAGAAATAGAAGCAATCTTTTACCATCTCAAAATGAAACACATCCACCCAGGAGGAAAATGTTTGAAAATGTACTACACATGCAGCTCTAGTGGTGGTGTAAAAAGGAAAAACCCAGAGTCTGAGTCACAGACTAGTTGTGACTCAGGCACAGAAAAGATAGCGGTGAAGGAAGATTAGTTTCAGTGGCAAAATGTGCCTTTACATAAGGACATGGCAGCAACTCAAACGGTTCAGAGTTTGCTTTAAGGAAAGAATGAAAACACTGGATTCAAGTTATGTAACACTACAGAGGCTTTCTGAGATTGTACCTGGCCAGTGCAGGAGTAGTCATGTCGGTCTGTACACCAATGGCCATGGGGATGCCTCCGCAGCGGATGTTGCCCAGCTCCTCTGACACTGCTACGCTGTAGCTGAAGTCCAGTCCCAAACCTCCATACTCTGCACAGGACGAAACACACACTCCTTTAACTACTGCTGACAGTTCACTGTGCGTTTTTATGTAGAGATGATATTTTCTTTATTTATGCACATTGAATATTAGGATACTAATATCAAATGTGGAGCTTTACGAAAGAGGAAGAAACAATGGCTTCTCTATGCAAGTCACTTTGGGTAAATACACACCATCACTACATTAGTCACCTTAAACTAGCCTTGGACCCAACTTCCCTGTCTACCTTCCATCTTTTCTGTTATCTCTGTTATGAAATCACTGTCTACCGCACACATGCACACACAGCACACTGGTATACATACATAATATTCTGAACTGATCTCTTGGCACTGGAGCATGCACTCAAATTAATTACAGGATGTTATCATTAATTGCTCTATCTGTAATTATGTGTAAAAAGCACTGCTGGGAGATGAGCAGCATGCTGCAGATGAGGGTCACTGTCATCTCAGTGTCATTTCTACTTTGTGTATTAAACCTGATTTTGATCTTTAAACAGCCCATTTACTGAATAAGTCAAAAATGGATGTCTATTTCCTGCACTCTGGCAATGGAGACATTTGCAAAGACCTTAGGTCCTTAATGGAGTCGAATAGTGCATTATAAACCATGCTTAAAACACCACTTTCTGTCACTTATCCTCATAAAGAGCCATCTCTTTACCTTTCATCATCAGTTGCCGCATCCATTGTGAAATGAATAGCCTGGTTTTTACACTAATATACATTTTTCTGCCCACTACTCATGGAATTAGCCAGCCAATGTTCTAACTTTCATACTGCATTTCTCTCAGGTCGTTTGTGCTAAACATTCACACATCCATTCAAAACAAAACAATATGAAAATGAGTGGTCTCTGCAGTACAAATAATGGATGTCATTATCTTATGCTAGTCTTGCAAATGTAATCTGACAGTTATTTATTCAGGACAAATCTTTTGATGGTAATGTCTGCCAAAAGTAACAAGACTGAGCATTTATGAAATGCTTGGTGTTCAGTTTTCCCATGACTAAATACAATATGACAGCCACTAGATGATGGATACAAGCAGTGATTGACAATGAATATTGTCAGCTAATTTATCACATGGAGGCAAAGCGGTTCAACATCCCGTCAGACTAGTTATCGAATAATGGAAAGAACAGTCTGGCAGATTGTCAGAGACAGATGCGGAATAAAAGAAAGCGAGTTAAATAAATGGGGACAGAGAAAGAGGGAGATACACAGGGGCAAGCAAACAAGGGAGTGGGGCAGCAAAAAATAAGAGGAAACAGGTGCAGCTGTGCCGCGATAAGTTTCTGAGCATCGGAAACCCTGCGGTGGATAATGTGGACCAAGGGAAGCACTGAGGTTTGTCCCACTTTAAACAAAACAGCAGGCTGCCTGGTTGAACAAGCAAGCAGAAGAAAAGCAAACAAAATTCTGTCACAAATGTCAGTCCGATACACATATGTTTCATCTGAACAACAGATGCTCCTCAGTGCATGTTCTCTTCAGGTGGAGCTCCATATGAAGCACATATGGAAGGTTAAAGATAAAGATCAGAGAGGAGAGAAAGTAGCATACTGTAGTTTTCTAATATATTCTATTCTCTTCCTGCATTGAATATGGCTGCCAACATGAGGGACCTGATGACAACACTTGAAATACGGCCAGCGAATAATGAATCATTGTCATAAGCTGCTTTGCATGAAAGATCTGTAACAACTACTACAATGGGGATACGTGTGAACACCCTAGTAGTATTCATTTCACAAATTCATGTTTCACCACTACAGTGTAATGTTATATAAAATCAGTACAGTCAATGTTAGTAATGCTTTTCAACATAAAAAGTAGATGCTGTAACACATTCACCATGGTACTGTCAAAGACCAAATTGTGAGAACAGAAACACCCTGGAGGTTAGTCCAGTAAACATTAGTCTCCAAAATATTCAGTTAAAGGCAAAACTGTGCTGGCTGTTGGGTTTATCCATCTGACAGGACACAAGGCCAATGGCATGGTGTGAACTGCGGATACCTCCCTGTCAGAGCAGAGGAAAACAGGCAGGGAGCCAAGGGTCATCCCTGTCTTCTTCCTCAACATGGCTGCCTTGGGAAAACTTCCCGGTCTCCTGTTTTGAAAGGTAATAACGCCTTTCCTTTTACATAGAAAAAGAGTGGAAAATAAGTGTTGAATCTGGTTGTCTACGGACTTAATAAAGGCACATACTGTACTGTATGGCTCCAGGAGTTGTAAATAGAAAGTTTGTTGCCAGTTTCAAATATATGGCCATTTAAAGTTGCCTTAAGTCTATTTCGCCCATTGTCAGTGCTCTGTTTTTCTGCTTTTCTCAGATTTAATGTCATCACTGCCCACAGGGGAGCTCTAAAAAATTACAGTGGTATGGACTATTTAACTCTTTAGAGCTGCATTTTGAATGTAAAATGCCTCCCATGATCACACAGAAACAAACAAACAAACAAACAAACAGAAAATAGACACAGTCTTTAGATGTTATTTGGTCATGTATTAAGCTTTTGAGATTTATATTTTCACTGACTATAATTGTGTATATAATTCTAACAATTGAGTTAAATAATTTCCCATTGCTCCTTGTGCAATTTATATTTGTGTAGAATTGTGTCTATATCTTGAAACAAGGCAGAAAAAGGCAGAGTGAACTTATATCAAGACAATATCACTCGATTCTGGATAATTCCTAAAATAAGTGGATTTGTATTATGCATAAATTACAATCCTCCCACCTCATCAATCATTTCACCACTGAACAGTCTCCTAAATCCTTATTCCTTTTGATCCGAGCCTCTAAGTTAATTAACCTAGTGCAGAATTCTGTGGTAGTATGCCTAATTAGTCAGCACTGCTGCAAAGTAACATGTCTAGGTTTAGTAACTCTACACTTATCTGAAGACTTCCAGTACTATGCAACTTTGGTTCTTCCTAATATTAAAGCAAATAACAAGCCAGAATGATCAAAAGGAGCTCAACTCCATAATATTGTAACTGTCTTTTATCTGAATACAATACAATGTTTGTGTTTTAGCTCTTATCTAAAAAGTTTTTAAAATAGGTTTTTACATTTTAGTGTAAGTGTCAAAGACCTGAACCAGTGACTAGATGGTCAATTTAAAATACATACTGAAAAATGTCATGGCAACACCCTACTAATTCATTTTAATTTACTGAATATATATGTGCATCTATTGACATCTTGTAAAAATTTCTTGTGCTATACATGATAGCAGGTAATCTGCCACCTGATTATACATTGTGTCTTCACAGTCTTCCGCTTGGCTGCTCCTCCTCTCTAATCCTGTCAACTAATGCTTAAGGCTTGTGTACTCAGCACATTTTAATTCCCTCGCCCTCCCTCTTCTTTGACCTACAGACCTGTGGTGGACTCTCCTTCACAGGACTCACTGTGCAACACCGATTTGTGCATTTCAGCATTTCATTTAATTGTCAGATAATCCACTACAGCTGTTTTTATGACGGTGATGTTATTAAGGCAAGACAGAGGAAATGACAAGCGCAGGCAAGTTCATTGAGATAAATAAAACTATTACTCTGGGAATAACTGAATATATGAAACTTTAGACCTCTGCTATTGAATGTCAAATGCTTTCCACAAATCTTTTCACATATTCAGAATGAATTAGACATCACAACCACAAATATTTCGTGGTCCTGTACTGTGCTTATCCTGCTCCCTCCTCCACCCCAGCAGTGACCCAGCTGGCTCCACATCTGGAAATGGGCTATACTGTAGCAGACAGCTGTTTGTGGGATGCTGCTGTGACACCAGCACCCATCATCACAGTGGGAACATTTTGAAACCAGACCGACTGTAATGTATGGCTGTCAAACAGACAGTGAAGAAAATGAATGGAGCATGAATTCAGCAGCGAAAAAAAAGACATGCCAAATGCTCATTGAAGTGGAGGCAGTCAAACTGTGCACACAGTGAAGGATTCCTCAGCTTCTTGTCTATAGCAGGATATATTTGGAACAGCCTATCCCTTGGTTCAGACAAATTCTAACCACCAATTTGTGGCTGATTCTGAGTGACTGTTACTCACATGTATTCTTGGATTAAAAATGGTATCCTTAAAAGCAATATTTATGTTGTGCCAAGGCCTTTTCAATTTTCTGATATATTACAGATTTATCAAGGGAGTTTTTGCGTTGGAAACAGAAATAACACGTCCCAACTGCATGTATCATTGCTCTTCATATTTTATGAATTACCAACTAAAATTCCCAAGAATACGAACAGACTAAAGTTCTCTCCCTCATATACACACAACTCTTACACTACAGAGCCACTCTCATGTTATATGTTACTCACATATATTCTGCAAACACAAGCCAAACATCTCTGGGTCTGTAAGTGTTTTTAATGGTCTTGACTTGTCCATTTAAGGCAACTGGGTTAACTAAAATAAAGGGCGAAAAGCAGGTGGGTTTTCAGTAGTTTGCTCACAGACATGTCTAGACAAAAATCGCTGTATTAAATAACAAGACTTTTGGTGATTTGTGAAAATTAAAGCCACATGTGACACACAAACAGGCAAACGGCTTTTGATTCCAACAGCAAGAAACATGCACTGAGTTTGGCACTGCTATGTGATGGTTATTATCTTTCCCTGGGAGGCTTAGATACTTTCACAGAAACCAAAATAAAAAAGGGCGTCTGGGTCTTTAAATCAAACAGACTTTTTTCTATCTCTCTGCTCCTGATAACGCACAAAAACACACAAGATTAATTAAACTCATCATTTTTCAGAAAGAGTTGTCTCAAAATCGCTCACATTTAGGCAATCCTAAATTTCACAGCAGAGTCGTGGGGGTTGGAACCTATCCCAGCATGCACTGCTCATCAATTACAGCTCTAACAAAGATACAGGTGGCTATACAAACACAGCCTTTTATTCCTATGGGCTAGTTCATGCCAAACTCATAACAGGAGTGGGAGACTCAACCTTGGACATTGTTGTTGTGGGGTGCTAATCACCAGCCGACTGCATCCCCCAAAAAGTGTGTTTATGAAAATGAATGTTGTGAATACAGACAGATAATCTAGCACTCTTACCAACTGGTTTGTTGACTCCTAGAAAGCCGGCACTCCCTAAGATTTTGAAGACTTTATGGGCTGGAAACTTGCCTTCAGCTTCCCACTGATCTACATGGGGGTTGATCTCCTGGTCGATGATCTATAGCACAAACACAACAGGGGAAAGAGCTGACATATTTATGCATGTTGACGTGTAACTTACAGTGTGCGCAGAATTATGCTAATCATTTTTTCCTGGTGAATTTTGAGCATAAATGCACATATGTTTGTATGTTTCTTTTTAACTCCACATATTACAGCCCTACTATCCTATCTCCTGTCTCACAACTGAGACCAAAAGGATATAAGCAAGGAGGAAAAAAAACAAAAAACACATACAATTGTTCTACATACACAGCTGTCCTGCTGTGCCTTATTCATCTCTTACTTAAGTCTATGTAATCTATCTCCAGCAGACAGCAAGATAAGGTATTACATATCAATGAATAGAAAGCAGGCTGGAAAACTGCATTAGATGTTGAATCTATAATGATGACAATGATGAATACAGTGACAGGATACACACTATGCTATTTCCTATATGTACATGTTATCAGTCCCCCACTGATAACCAAGGCTTGGCTGTAGACATGAAATAATACTGGTTGCGGGCTCATAAAACAATGACAGGGGTTTGGTATTACTCCCAATCTTATTTTCATGTCATTTTGGAGCAGAAAAAAATGCACTAAATACGAAATTGTAACAGAATAATTCAGTGAAAATGTTGGTAAGAAAAAATGGCATGGTTGTTGAATACAAAAAAAAAAAAAATATGGAACATGGGCTTTCAAGGGCTGATACTGATACTTTTGTCCTGGCGCAGTTGGTAGCCAATGTTGCGCCGATATTCGGCATCTTTCCATTCAACCGTTCGGATGCCAATATTTTAATGACTCACAGCATCCCCACCAATTTCTTCTTGGCAGGGTAGAAAAACCTCTGAAGTAATATTTAGAACAGCAAGCAAAAATAAAGCTTGGTACTGAAACCCATACTAATGAAATTCCTTCTGGGTTAGCAGCCACTCCATCTATCCGGCCACAAAGCCCGGGATACACAACTGCCTAAGAATGAAGGATGACTATATTATATGCTTTTTGAGTGGAACAACAAAAAAGCAACATATTGCAGCTTTGGTTAAGGAACAACTTCCATTATATGATGGATGGATGACGTTAACTGGCTGATATGTGATTTTAATAACAGGTTAATATGATATATCAACAAATGTACTAGATTCATGTTAATTTGTATCAGAACCAAATAAAATAAAAAAATTCATGAGGCTGAAACAAATGGGTTCTGGTAATTTTTTAACAGAATTTTACATAATCTTCTTCAACAGCGAGCAGCTTTTGTTTAGTCTCTCCAATCCAAAATCAAGCAGCATTGTGTTTATGGCTTGAGCCTTGTTTTGTGAGTCATGAACAAAATGTCGGCAGGGACTGCTGAGTGGGTTACAACCTGGCTTTGGAATTATTGAACCTTGGTGCCCTGACTCAATTCGAGCACTGCCAAGTGGTCCACAGCTGGAGAGGCGCTTATGAATGACCAATCTATTGAGACGCTCATATGGTGCTATTTTGGTGGGAGCTCAAGCTGCTTCATAGAGAATAGGCTGTATATCTGTTGTGAAGGTTACAGTTTGTGTGGTACTTTTGTTGTCAGTCTCTTTTTTTTTTTTTAAGAACTCCACCTGGCACAGCAGGCTTTGTCAACAGGAAGTTTTAGTGCATAGTGTCAACAACAGTTTCTGCAAAATACTGTTGGTAAAAATCAAACAAATTAACAAATAAAAATATAAAATAAAAACTAATGTGCTATGACTTTCCTTGTCTGTTTCTTGCTGGATGCTTTTCAAATTAAAATGTCCCCATCAAATGGCTCTGCACTTGTCTGTCAAAATATCACAGGCAACTGCAACCTGTTTGCTATTGGTGTTATTCACTTAAATGCATAAACATTTTTAATGGGCCATGGTTTCAACAGGCCATTGAAAGTCTGCTCCATAAATGTATTTCTCTGCTCAGTACAATATGCTCTAAATGGTGGGTAAAGCCAATGAAAAGTAATCATTAAAACAAAAGAGGTATTTAGTGGAAATAAGAATCATCAAATTTAAGCTTCAGACAATGAAAGGAGTTAAATAAGCCATGTGTAATAATGTGGATTGTGGAAAATAAACCCTACTTGATTATTCTTTCATGTAGCTTCAGTAAATCTCTGCTTGAGAGTGAAGGCACAACCATCAGTGAGCTACACTAGGCCTGTGTTTAACCATTCAAACAAAAACAAAAAAATAGCAGAGTACTGAAGAAGAATTCAGAGGTATTTTTCCAGGATTGCAGTGAGTGTTGCACACTCATTTTGTCCCTCCAAAACACACAAAACCAAACCAGTCAGCCATTTGACCAGCCAAGAAAAACACAGTGACTGAAATGTATGAATACAAGGCAAACAAAAAACATTGACATGAATCTTATTTTCAACAGATAGGAATCTGTGAAGATCAAGCTAACTTACATCACATCAAATACAACAACAAGGAGTTAAAAAGGGCAGGTACTGGTCCCCTTTACCCCGCATAAAACTCCTCTGTGTTCAAAGTTCAGATCCTGACGAGGGAAAGGGAGGGACGATGAGCTGCTGGAATGGGAAGCATAAAGGTCATCAGGGAGTAATCCCACATCTCTTCACAAAGGTTACTGCATACCAGAACCACTTCCCATTACCAGACAGTCAGTGGTCAGTGGAGTCTGAGCTATACCCGTGGCACCCTGGATTACTCCCCGTGAAGTACAGCTCTAGGTTAGTTTAAGATTTGGTACAATCAAGATAGTTTGCCAATCATGATACTTATCAGGGCTGCACAAAATGACAACATGTACTCTGAAACTCTGTCAACCATCAGAGATTTTACTGTACCATTAAGGGATGTCCATTTTGAATTTTTCTTCTGACCGATATCCGATGCTCGTTAACCAACAATTGACCAATAACCGACAAGATTAAAATGTACTATTTAGAATAAACGAGTGTCTGTAAACAAAACACATACTCAATCCTCCGGCTCCAAGTGTGCTGTGTATTACTGGCATTAGAGCCTCGTCCCTCTAGGAAAATATTAAATAACTTATTAAAATACATAGCTAATAGTCGCAAGGCTTTCTAATGTATATTTGTTTTTAAGTATAATTTACACATTAAAAGCATGTATTTAGTCTGGCATAATGTTATAATTTAAAAACAAATTCCACCAAATTCCACTAGATAAAAATACAAAAATGTAAATTTTCTGCCTGCAATGGCTTTGTTGTGTGGAGAAGGAAACCCCTGTCTGAAACCAAGGGAGACTGCACATGAATAGCTTCTTCCTAGAAATGCTAGGGAAATCTCTTTTGTCTCCTCGTCTTCATTACCAGTACATGACCTTCTACACACACCAACTTGGGCTGGTTTGATGGTTTGTACATTTGAGAGTTGCTGGAAGCCAGACTGACTAATTTCTTGGCATGGAAGTTCTTTTATTCAATCTGTGAGCCCATGAATACAACACTTAATGTAACACACACATCTATACTGACAAAGGACTAAAGGATTTCCTATAACCCCACTTGGCTACCATCTATAAACACACACTACCCTTCAGTGAATTCTTTTAATAAACCACACTGCCTCAAGTTCCCTTTCCTGGGCCGCCAACATATTGTTCTGCATTTCCTTGTCACATTTTCATCCTTCCCAATATTCCCAGTGCTAGTTTATTTTCAACCTACTCGCATCCTTTGAAGGTTTAGTCACACAACAAGCTTCCCTCCATTTACCGCAACATATTTACTGCCTGCCTTAAATTAGGCTCTTGCTGTTATTTTTGCAGCCTCTGTCTCTAAAGTCTGTCTAGTAATATATATATTTCCAAAATGAGTCAGACTGATAATGAGTCAGACTGATTACTAATACTTGCTTTGATTTTTTTGTACCATAATTTGCAGATACTGATTTTTAGATCCTAAATCCTGTTTTGGTGGGACTGGTTGGCCCCACTGCCTTAATTGGTAGTTTCATCTGAATCTCATGGCCCGCTCATTGTAGATCTAAAACTCTCTGATATCAGAAACCATTTACTTGTCTTGCAGTGGGAAGAAATGTTTTAACATGAAGCTGACTGACAATGTAAGAATGCTGGCAAGTCAAAAGGTCTTCACATGCTAAATAACCTTCTCTGAAGCAAGCTAATGCTGTTTAGCAAACATCAGCCTCTAAGACACATGTTAATAACAAAGTAAAAGCATGTACTTATAACTATGACGTCAGACTTTACTTAAAAATAGCTTCTTTTTTTGCAGTATTGATTTAAATTGAAGGCTGTGGACCCCTTTCCCCATTTCTTTCATTATGTTCACATTATTTCAGGGTTGTGAGTCACCACCCAAGCCAACACGCTGTCAGTCACACAATGATTCTTGGCATGTAACACCTGATGTTACAAATCTGAAGTGACAAATTTAACCATAGCTTCACATAATCCCAGCCTAAGAGCAGAGATAGATGTTACACATGCTGATAAGAGCAGGGCTGACATTATTTAGCAGGGATGTGGGAAGTGTGGGATGGACCATGAAAACACCATTGGTTTTGTGTGAGAAGCCTCTGTGCACCTCTGCCTTGAAGTGGGCTTATGAAGTCATTTGAGGGTCATGCATTAACATCCATTTTAAAGTGTAGCACCATCAAAACAAATCTATGGTTGAACCCATTTGACTTCTTTTCTGTGAAGCTGCAATACAGACAGCAGACACCAACAGCGGAAGTGAACTACTGTACATAACAAGCTAGTATAGTGACCTCTCACCCACTTTTGTTTTACTGCCCCTGCGCTGCTTCTTACAGTTACATTAAGATGAACAACACTCTTCCTCTTTAGCTAAGACTCATGGGTATTCAAATATAAAAAAACATATCAACAGGTAAAGCACATTCAATCATTGTTTTCATGGTAACGTCACAGCTTGCTACACCGTTAGCGGTCCTGCATACCTTTCTGAGGGACTCCTTTAATGCAAAGTGCTGTTGTGTGTAGATTAAATGGTCACCCGTGGTCTCTGAGGCACTGGCCGTTTCGGGTTTAGATAACACTTTTTCAGAAAACGACCGGACACCGACAAATGAGGTGAATTTGTAAAAGTGATTGCTGTTGACCAGCAGGTTTAAACGCAGAGCTCCTCCGTGCAGCACCATCTTTGTTGACGATATCGCGTGTGCGCATGCGCAGTCTGTGGCTCTGGCTGTAACCCACTTTGAGGCATTCGGGAGGTTTGTCCCGGGATAAAACATTAACCCAAATGAAAAGTAAAACTTCTGTAATGTTTGACTTCCATCACTTGGGGAAATACCACCATTAAACAGTATCACTATCTGTTACAGTTTAACAGATTTCTTAAGGAGGGGTCAGGAGTCAGGAGGACTCTTAAAGGGGTCACAAGATAAATCTAAGCGGTCGCAGAAAAGGAAAGGACTTCGACTTGACTGGGAAGTAAAAGGGACTTGAAATTGAATTTTATTGTCTTGTGAAATTCTGTATATTTTTACCCTGTCAAATATCTGACACATTTTAAGCAAAAGTAACTATGAAGATGTCACTCTTTATCACAGTGGGAGTGATGACACATTCACTATTCAATGTGGTACAAAGGGTCATAAATAAAAATGCCTCATTTTAAGTGTTATATTTAAGTGGACTATGGTTTTTATGTAATTTTTTATACCATCCCATACATTCTATTCTATTAATTTTTTATGGTGTTAAAAGCAATCAATATCAAGTCTTGAAACATCTAGTTGTGTAAAATTTATCACATTCTTCAAATTTCCCTTATTGTTTTGAGGCAATGTACTTTTAAATCATTCTTTGATGACACTGCATCATCATGCAATGATAATGTGGAGCAATGACAACAATTTGATAATGTTCACTAAAATCTCTAACAACTTTCAAGAGTCTGCTGATTGATTTTTTTCAGAAATGAAAGGAAAGAAATACCTGCCTGGTACTCCAGGAGGAATACATCCAAAAATCTAAAGCTGCACAGCAAAGAGCAAAAGAAAATTTGCAAAATATTTGATATTTACCTTGATGTGTGCAACAAAATGATAGAAAATTTATGAAAAAAAGTTCAGAAAACTCTAAATGTATGTAAACTGAGTTATGAAGATGTATCTATAGCTCTACCCTGTCATGAACAGTGAACGATGGAGACAGGCTGAGTTATAAACAAGCAATTTAATAACAGTTGCTTCTGTGTATGAAACCACATTTCCATTTGCTCAGACTATGTACACCACATGAGAAGCATTATATAACCCTTGCAAAATACAACTCTTTTATATTGCATCTTTTCAAGGAATAAAATTATAAGGTTACAAATCTGGCCAAAATATGGGGAGACGTTTACATGGGAACTCGTGAAGTTTTATCAATTCTTTCTTTATGATGTCCTTCTAGTCTTCTCAGTCTGCAAATCCTTTTTATGAGGGGAGGGAGAATGTCCTTGGGTGCTAATCTGAGATATGAAAAGCTCCTCAGGTCCAGTCTAGCAGATGACACAGCCACCTTTCTCCTTGAAGGGGTTCTTCTCCTCTGAAATGCCTTTGACAAGGGTGTCCTCCTCCACTCCCTCCTGAATGTAGTCCTTGATTTCTTCACAGCATTTAGATGTCTGGAGTGATCAGACAAAGGTGTTAAGACAGTTTTATCCAGCAATTTATTCCAGTTTTAAACACTCGTCCTGGAGAAATTAATTGCACTTTGTGTAATTGCATTCAAACAGGTAGACATCATGGATAAAAGTCTAGAAACCTACTTTATTCACTGGTATTTTTAAAAACAAAACAATGACATACTCATCACCTAGAATGAAGAACTTACCAACCACCGCTCTAGTTTCACTTCAATTTTAAGCTGGTTAACTTCCATTACAGCCTTATCCTTGTCCGTCAGATCGTCTACGTTTATGACCGGCATTCTCTGTTAAAAAAAGAAAAATTCACAGTTTTTTTTGCAAAATATTCACCCTCTTGTGACCAATATAAAAAATCTTGAATGATTTTACCTCACTATTTAAAATAAAATGTCATAGAAAAAGAATAGGAATGGACTTACGGACGCTTACAGGGAGCAGTCCTTCACTCCCAGAATCCTGCTGAAGAATCCCTCTCCACTCCCTCAATCTGGGTTATAAAGTAATCAGCATAAACAATCCTAATCCGCTAATCTGATTAAACAAGGCCCCAGTGTATGATCCAGCCACTATCTCAATAAGAAGGGGATGACTCACACAGGTGTCTGTTGGGGTCTGAATTATATGTAAAAACAAGAAACTGTATTTATTATGTTGCAGATTAAATTTGGGTTTTCGCTGCTATCGTGGCTCCGTTCTCTCTATAAATCCAGATATGGGTTAAAGGATGGTGCCTCATGTATCAGGTCACTTTGATAAGATGACTAATCGGTATTTAGCCTACACCTGTCAAGGTGGAGACACATCACTGTCCTGAACGTGAGTGCATGGCAGTTTTCCAACAACATAGAGACAACCTTCCATTAACTGTAATAACTGGACTGGATTCTGCATTAGAAACCCCCCCCCCCAAAGAGCTACATCCGTCTGAGCCTTCAGTTTCAGATAATTCTGCTTTCAGTTCTAAGAAAGGGGGAACTTGAGTGTTAAGTGGAACATGGCTTTAAAGAATGTTGGAGGCAGTTACAATCATTAAACACTAAATAGAGAGGGAAGTTAGAGGGACAAGTGTGTTTGTTTGTGTGTGTGTGTGTGTGTGTGTGTGAGAGAGTGGATTCAGATCCAGTCTGACTGGTGTGTGGTGGGAACTTGGCCTGATGCATCAGACAAGTGAGATCTGGTAGTATTACACAAGAGTGTCTGTCCCTTGTAGACAACACTTGCTCTGTGAAAATTTGACAGGGGGATGCAGAGTAAGGCTACTGGATGTCACCATCATCATCGTCATCATCGTCATCATCATCATCATCATTGATATCAGTGACCAGATAGAGTGTGGTGTCCGACTTCCCCCAAAAGAGAGGAAACTTACTCTCCTGCCACTGCAATTGAGTTAAGCATACTTAGTCACTAGGCTTCATTCATTGTAACACTAACGCAATCACTATTACGATAAAATATCGATGAGTGATGTCATTGATGAACTCGTCACCTCTCTAATCCAGTTCTTCAGTATTTTGGAAACGAGTCATTACTCTCCGCCCCTACAATTCCACTGGGAAACAGCTGCTCAACTATAAAAGTGGATGTGGTCGACAGCGCGGAAAAGACCGGAGAGTTGGAGCAAAAGTTACACAATGGAGTTTTGCATATTCGCGCTATTTACGCTTTTCTCCTCATTTTACAACGTGTTGGCGTTGTCGCCTAAAGGTAAGCGATGCGGAGGAACTAAAAGTATTTTCCTGATCTGCTCAGTTTGTTTTTACGGGACATCATCACTTAATCTCGGGTGTAAGACCTTGTTGTTGTGAGTTTTAAATAGAGCTTAACGCGCAGCAGTGTTTGCAGCTTAATTACCTTATTGCTCTGTGGTGGTTTCGTGTTTCTTCAACCATAACCTTGGTGCTTTCAGGCGTGTGCCTCCTTCAAGTGGACGAGGGACCCTGCAGAGGAGAAATCGAGCGCTACCACTACAACACAATCACGCAAAAGTGCGAGATTTTCTACTATGGAGGGTGCCAAGGGAATGCCAACAATTTCAAGAGCTATCAGGAGTGCCAGAAGACATGTTTCAGAATTCCAAGTAAGTTGTAAATGTGATGAGCGTACACATTATTTGTTTGATAGTGACCCTCACCACCTCTGAAACCTGTCGAATGTGAGTGCTGGGTGTGGTTTTACTCTTTGTGTTGTATATGAATACTAAGAAAATCATTGATGTAGATTTGATTGCGGTCCAGTTAATGTTATGTTGTTATGTTAACATTTTGTTATACCTCTTAATCCAACCCCAATCTCAAATTTTGTCCTTTTGTTTTTCTCCACAGAGATCCCCCAGATCTGCAGGTTTCCTAAACAGGTGGGACCATGCCGGGCCCTCTTCCGCAGATACTTCTTCAACATGACCACCATGCAGTGCGAGATCTTTTATTACGGTGGCTGTCAGGGGAACTCCAATCGCTTCCAAGACCTTACCTCTTGCATGGAGTACTGCAGTCCACAAAAAAGTTAGTAGAAACTTAAGCACCCACTGTAGCCACTGAGTAATCCTGATGTCATGCACAGTGGCTCCCTGCACGCATGGACTCTGTGTGTGGAAATAGTCTTGCTAAACACTGTCACACCTGACATGACTTGATTTCAAAACGTTGAAGGAGGAACAATCAAGAATTTCAGGTGTGATTAAGTGAAAGAGAATGTTTGATTAATCTGATGGAAAAAAAAAAATCAAAAACTAAATTTTTCTGATTGTGCTCCTCTTCAGAGACTGTGATCGGTGGTCTCATTGTCTGCTTTGTGGTTTATCTTACAGCTATTCCTGTGCTCTGCCTGGACACTCTGGACAAAGGGAAGTGTTCAGCCTCCATAACTCGATACTACTACAACACAGCCACCAAGATGTGTGAGGAGTTCACCTACACAGGCTGCGGAGGGAGCAGCAACAACTTTGTCTCGAGACAGAGCTGCATGGACGTGTGTACTAAAGGTGTGCGAATATGAGTATTGATGGATGCATGTGGCGAAAGTTTCACTGTCCACACTGAAAGCTTGTAATTGGAGATGATCATTTGAGGAGAATTTGCAGAGTCCTAATTCCGTAATTACAGTATTTGGAGCTGCAATCAGGCCACCTGTTGGTTTAAATTTGGAGAGAATTCAGAAAGTCGTAGGGGAACTGGGAAGAGACCAAATAATGCTTGGCTGATTTCATTATCAGGCTTAAAAAGTGCCTGGCATGTGAAGAAACCATTAGTACACACTTAGGGATGATGTCCTCTAAACCATTTTTGCACTACAGCCAGTCATTAAATTATGACAGAGAGGAAACCACAGAAAATCTGGCTCCAGCTTAATTATAGTATAGAAAGTCAACAAGCATTCGAATTACAGGCTATCATACTAATCAGTTGTCATACACTTTTTTTGTGTTCCAGGAGGGAAAAAGCACACAGGCCAAGGAAAAATTCGTCGCATGAGACGGAATAGAAATAATCACATCTTTCGTGCAAGGCAAAATGTCTGACACCTCTCACTTCTAAGTGTGTTCTCACGGATGCTCACTGGGACAAGCCCTTAATGTAAGCTAACATGTATTAAACTGGCTTTGTTTATGCCAAAAAAATTGTGACCAGGTTCTTTGTTGATACCGGAAGAGCCTTCAAGTGGCACATACAGACTGTATTGGTATTTGTCATGCCTTAAAAGCAAATTTTTCAAATGTTTTTACTGATTTTACTGTATGCTGTTGATGAAGTCTGTTACTACTGCACTAATGTTCCTGACTGTGTGTTTTTGATACTGTATGTATGTAATGTATGTTTTGTATAAGTAATACAATATAACAGTGAACTGTTTTATAAGCACATTTTTTGATAAAATATACATTTTATAAAGTATTGGGGCATTTATTACACTTTTATGCTGCTGAAGTTGGTATCTAAGTGTATTGTGTTTTTTTTTCAATATTTAACTAACTCAGAATGAGTTGAGAGCAACTTCTTCAACCCCTGCAATGTCAAGAGAGTCTTTTTTTTTTAACTTCTATCAAAGCACAACACCACTGCACCCAAACAAAACAATACAAATACAGAAAACAGGTAAGGCTGGTTTCCTCACTTTCTCTGCCACTTTCACTTTATCTCTGTGCCTCTCTTCCATTCCTTACTAATGCTGCTGTCTTCCCTTCTTATCTGCTAATACTTTGCGAGGCACTCAAGCCTATCTCGGTTGCCTCAGTGTAGCCTTGAATCAGGGTGGAGGCGATCCTGAAGCAGCGAATGGTACTGTGGCAGGTTCATTTGAACGTTGCTGCATGTATAGAAGACAGGGAGCTGCAGGTTTACAAAATGTGTATCCTGAGCCTCCAGCAATGTGTTCAGAAATGATGTAGTTACAGTGAAATTCACACAAATAATTGACACAAAGTGGAATATATCCATGTATAAATGCAATATTTTTAGTTTCTTTTTGGTTAGTTCTCAGTATTCTCAGATATACTTTATGTGGCATAGGAGAAATCATTGTTGTTTATCCTCATTGAGGAAGACAGGCTATTAATTTCAAAGCACTCTGTGTTTTTACCATATCCTGACAGTCCTAAATCTGTGCTTTGTTCCATCTATTATAATAGAATAGTTGAGGCGCTGTGTGATTTTTCAGACAATAAATATTTATGGAAGATATCAAAGGAAACTGCTCACCCATCTGGCTTGGCTATAAATAGCAATAAAAGGTAATACATCTGGCTAGGCCCTGTGCTATTAAGAACCAAAGCTAAATCATCTATTAGGTAGCAATATGAGAGAGGATGTCATCCTAACAGTCTGTGCCCAGGTTCTCAAAAGCTACATAACCTTGAAATCATCAATGCTTGCTTGTGATGGAACAGGTGGCTCTGGAAATTGAGGTGAAGCTTCTTTTGACTTCCTGTCCTTTTAAGGTAAACTTTTTTCTGTCCTGCCTGCACTTTTCAATCAATAAAAATACAAATAATGGTGAATTTAAGCGGGGCGGAGAGCAGCAGAGCAGAAGCGATGCGTTGATTCTCATCCAGTATCTGTTAGTAGTAATTCATGACTCCCTTAAACTGCAAAATAAAGGCTGATAGACATATGAACAGTTTTTTTTAATGAAAGTAAGTCTAATGTTCACTCTTTCTGTTTAAGCAACATTTCATATCAATATTGACCACCATGATAACAAGTCATTTGTTTAGAATCTAATCACACCTTGTCACATATTCTTATGGTTTGTTCTAATCACCAAACAACATGATAAATGTTTGAGATGGTACAAACAGACTCAGTGGTTTACATTTAATTATAACAAAGCTCTGTCTTGGACCATTAATGGGTGGCAATATAATACTGATTGTAAAAGATTTTCAGTTTAGTTCATCCTGCTCTGGTTATTTCATTAGCTGCAGTACATTAGGCTGTGTAATTTTGTCTCATTCTCAATGGTGATTGATTGGACTTTACATTGAAACATGGCTCTCATTTAAAATGAGATTAATTCTATGCAGGGGGCTGCCTTGCATCATTTCTCAAATAGTGACGTTGTTGTGATTTTATAAGTTCTAAGTTACTGCACTAATTTTAAACTATCATCATGTCCAATGATTTTGTACTGTAATGTGGTTGAATTCACTGTTAAATGCTAAACACTTGAAGTATGCTAATTAAACATTTAACATGACTCCAAATGATCATAACATGCTGTAGGTGTGTGTGTGTGTGTGTGTGTGTGTGTGTGTGTGTGTGTGTGTGGGGGGGGGTATCTCAAACGCCCCCTGGTGGCAGATTCACATATCTGATAAATATCAAAAAGAAACAAAAAAGCTACTTTGGTACAAATAAATACAAATATGTGTAAATATATTCTATTGTTAGTTATAATAAAAAACTGTTTATTGTAAAACCTGAGCCACTTTCTGACTGTTTTAATTAAACAAATACAGTGCAGATAGGACAGATTTTGCAGCCACTTGTATTTACTGTGTGTTTCAGAATACTAGAGCAACCCACACCATACAGTTCAGCACTCAGCAGCATTTATTCCACTACAGTCTGTTTCTGTAGGTGGTTTTTGTTTTGCTGAAATGCCTTCAGAGTGCTCTCACAGCTTTGGCAGCATAGTAGTCTAAAAACCACCGGGTGGAGATCCAGCTACATGGTTTACAAATTTCTCTCAGAGTTCTGGAACAGAACGGAATCATCTTGGGTTTCTGACATTGGTCAAGAAGTAACTGAATATTTAAAAGATACATTTCCCCAGAGGAAAACTATATCCGAAGTTTTTTGCCGTAGACAAATCAATCTTGTTCAGTGTCTGCAAAGCCAGAAACAGGAAATCCATTATAGTTATTTGTGATATTATCGACAAAAAATATAGCCTTGTCTATAGATTGATGGGCTACTTTGTTATTGCTCATAAAAACTTCCTTGATAATATTACAGGATGTGAGCATGATGGTGCAGAATAAAAGATGTCAGGTTGCATACATCTACCAGTTTTAATCAGAATCATTTTTATTCACATACCTTTGGAATAATATTGGAGTCAAAATTTACCATATTTCACTACAAAAAAAAAAAAAAAAGGCAGAGGGACACCAGGACCATACAGGGGGCAACAGCCAATCAGGTGAGAGGCGAGAACTAACAAGTAGGCTCATGGACAACAGGTGTGCAGACTGTGGGCTGCCTCCACACAGTACTTGCTGCTTTGTGCTCACTCCATGTGGCTGGAACTGCTGGTCATACTTGTGGCTCTGGTAAGCCAAACCTGTTGTTTTATTAATTGATATATGTCCATTTTTATATTATAGTATGATTGTTTGGGTATTGTAGGGGTGCCCCCGAGATATTGTTTTAAATAATTTATTTTAGTGGGCTTCCATGACTGTCTGTAATTGTAACACTGCTCTGTTTGTTCACAGGCAAGGCACTGACTGCCGTTTATATTACTATTAGATATTTTATAGTTTTATAGTTTAGGTTAGTTTTAATCCTGTTTATGTGTTTTAGTGCTGCTGTGGTTGGGGGGGCCTCCAGTCCAGCGTGTGGTTGATGCGCTGGGAGTTCACTCACTTTTGATGGTGATCTGTTTTGTGGTGTATTATTAGTGCAGTGTTTTAAGTGTGTTTTGGTTTGTCTTATTTTTCACAGGTAAAATACTCCCAGTGTCCCACCAGTGGTTGGTTGGCTTCCTTGCTGTGGCACAATTCTTTTTATTTACTTTTACATTTTAAGGAAATGCTCTAATAAATGTCATGGCAGCTAACCCACACTGACTGTTGTGACCTCGTCATTGAAGCCCTTGTGTCTCATTCCTCTGTGTTACACAGAATTATGTTTTTCCTGATTTCCTTTACTGTTTGTAACATCTTCACCTTTTGAATTACATATTAACATTACAATTTGAGGATCGGGACCCATAAGTTGGGACTAAATAATTGTAGTCAGCATGTTTGGTTTCATCTAGAGCTAAAAAAAGATCAAACCTGCTGATAGAAACTGAACCAAGGAGCAAAAGACTGCATCCAAATTGAACAGAATTTTTATTTTGGTCCACCATTTCTGGGATGTCAGCGTTTGGTCTGTTTAAACTGTAGACCAAACATGTCAGCTGGCTTCCCTTCCCTGTCCCGACATGGCATCAGAGTTTCCCCAACATTCATCACCCTCTGCTGGGTAAAATGGAACGTCTCTACCCCTTCCACTCACACGTCTAAGATTGATGTGTCTGGTGATGAGAATCTGGGCTGTTCCTCACTGTCCATCCGGCTGCCAAACACATGTAGCTGCTGTATAATTAAACAAGTCAGACGACTCCATACTTGAGCTTCTGAGATGTTTTGGAAGCCTTCGCAGGTACAGATTGCCAATTGATTCCCAGAGAAATGCCAACTAGAGGAGATTAATTTGTCAACATATGTGTTGTGTGTGGACATGCATGTAAAAGCTCACTAATAGTCATTACACTTCCTTACCCGCACACCCCGCTTCTAGTCCTAATGTAATTTCACCCTGCCTTGGCTCCAGTCACAGCGCAGTAATTGATTTTTGAGGTGAATACTAATTTCTCCAGTTTCTGTGTCCAGCTCAGGTTTTGTTAATAGATTATTGAGCATTTTAACAAAATACTGACAAAATTCTACCTTGCTGTCCACAGAGCATGGCCTTTACTGTAACAATCACACCGTGCTTTTATTGTTGGGGAATAGCATCTCTTTTGTAGCAGATGACTCATAGCTGTGAATAAATCCACTGCTTTCACCCTCCTGCAAATGTGCCAGAATCCTTTTTCATCAAGGCTGGGAAGATTAAAAATGATTTGAGCAGAACAAACATACACGTGCCCATTTTTCCCTAGGCTGTACAGTGATTATTTTCTTCCAGCAGAGTTGAAAAGTGCTAAAATAAAACAAAGAAAGAAAGAAAGATATCACTCTGAGCTGGAGAGTCTTCCTCCTCCTCTTCGATTGTACGCTTCAGTTACCAGCTTCCCACAGCCCAAAGACTTTATGTCAAGCTCCCGTTCAGCAGTTCTCTGCAGTCTCATCAGCTTAACACATTGGCACAATTGAATATGCTGCTTGATAATGGGATTTTAATATATATTACATTTAGGAAAGCTGACCCACCACATGCTAAACCATGATGGGGGTTGAACAGGAGTGCTGAAAAAGTCCTGAATAAGCAGGCTGTAAGCAAACTGGAGGTGGGGAACAATCTGTCTTTTGTGATACCTGCTGCAAAACCAAAACTGGACATATTTTTGGTAATTGAATGGGCATTACAGATGCCACTGTGTTCACTGGCTAGTTGCTAACTTTGGCATTAAAATGCACAGTGGTGTTATCTGAACTTTTCAGATGAAATCTGTCCCTCTCCTTTTTGTGGCTAGAGGTTGATTAGAGCCATGTGACTGAACCAAAGCAGTTAATCTGTGGGTCAGAAAACCAAAACAGTGACCTGAGAACATAAACACTGAGAAGCTAAAACGCAGCATTGAGCTGAGAAGAACTACAGAGTTGGTTGATAATTATCTGTGGTTGCTATGAGCAAGCACCACTAGTCTTTTGATACATTGATAATACAAACAAATTGATTACTGCAGCTTTAATATTAAAAAAAGTATTCATTATTAGAATTGATTAACATTGTTTCAATAGTACTGTTCAATCTTTCCTTAAACTGAACGGCAGAGTGAGGAAGCAAAGTGATTATGTCATTCAGAGACAAATCCCGGTGCTGCTCCATTGAAAATAAAGAATGCTTTGACAGCATTCATAGTGGTTTTTCTGGGGTACGGGCACATTTCCCGATTCACAGCTGGAAGCCTATGACACACGATGACATTTAAAGATGAAACGTCTCGTAAAAACACTCAGTGAACCCACAGAGTCAGTAACAAATTCATTACCAACTCCAAAAACCATCATCCATTGACATCAATCATTCAGATTTTATGTTTGTATTTCCAGCTGAGACAGCAAAGAGTTGTCTGTGTTTGTAGATTATGAGTTTTCAGCACAAAATCAATGGAAATACGCAATCTTATTTTATTTTTAATTGGATATGCAGTGATTGCTCTTGAAAAGATATGAAAGCAATTGTACGTTTGTTAGAAACTGTATCTAGCGTGCTTCCGATCTCTCTTGTAGGGCGCATAATTATCAGAATCACACCCCATAGTCTTTAACCTTTGATGGGAACAATCATTCCAGGTTTTCTGTATCTCCAAGACAAAAAAAATAATTACATTCCTTCATGCCAGGATATGGTGCAGTGACATCCTATTAAATACAAACCATGCACAGACGCCGCCAGCACTGGCCCCCAAACTTACATGGCCTTTTCTCCAGCATCATTTTCCTCTAGATTCACCACACAGCATGTCCCACAAAACAGGCGCCTCTCCAGCTCCATTTTCCTCATTCATCCTCCACCTTCCATCATCACCACCACTGACCATAATGAAGGGGTTCTGTGAAGAGGACTTGCTTTTTCATGGAAGTGTCCTCTAACCACAATACCATCTGTAGCACAACTTCAAATGTGAGGTTCTGCCAGAAGTGATTTCTGACATGACTATTGCATGTTCAGAATGAATTTTGTCCCAGTGTGAATTAACTGAAAGAAACTGAAAAAAAAGAGACAAATTTGTCACTGACAATCAAAATATGGATTTATTCTCCTTCCCTGCCCAGAAATTCATGTTCTATATTAGGTAGTATGATTTAGGGGTAATTTAATTAACTTATGTGAGCAGACATACGTGAGCTGACAAAGGCAATGTTGTTTTCAACGTTGGAAGATTACTAACATTCCCAAGTAGATTGTGTTTGTCCACTCCTGTCCCTCTCCCGGGTGGATGTTCTGTCTTTTCTGCGGGTTTCGAAGGCAGCGCCGCTTGTTTTTCGGATCTCCTGGCTTTAGAGACGACAGGCTCATCATGTCTTTCACAGTTATAATGTGTCATAAATATGCAGCTACATGTCCACCACTGACTTGCCTGTCTGAGTTTGTTTGTGTGTATGTGTGCATGAGATGAAGAGAAATGAGTGTTAAATTTGTGACGAGGAGAGATGCGGACAAACAGCTGGTTGCGTTGTAATTAAGTGTAAAGACAAAGTTCTGGAAGAAAAAGAGACAACACTGAGAAAACACTTCCTGTTTTTTTTAAGTTGTTAGTTCCACAGATGTTTTCTGTTTTATACACCAACATTTGTATGGCGGTTAACTTGATATTCGACAATATCTGCCAACATCTCATCAGTTGTCCACTGGAAATCAACTTGGCCTGCAGTTTTGTCAAATAAACAAAGAGGCTGTTGTGTGTGATTCTCGTGTTGATATGCATTACAGTTGATGATGTAGAAGCGGGGACAGGGCAGTAGGGTGCTGCAGTAATGATGCAGATTTCTCAGTTATTATCACATCAGTAAAAGGTTTCCTGTGTCTCCATCATGCCTGAATTATGGTCATATTCTGCTGATGAGAAGACCATTAGAGAGTCAGTCACTGACAAAAGCATATCCTTTAGATATTAGTTTCTCTGCCCTCATAAATCTGAGTTTAAGACGTCTATGCACAAGCAAGATTTTGTGACATCACAGGTGAAAATCATAATCCAAATGTAGCCTAGGAGATATGGTAAATAGTTGCACTTTTGAAATAAAAAATATTCACTTATTGGTAGGTTTTCAATGATGGACAAAATGTAAATGTAAGACTGTTTAAAAAGGTAATTGAACTTGTTATGCACAATATTTGTATATCTGATGTCTTAAGGGGGTCTTTAAGGTTCCCTGCCCAGAGACTGAAAGTAGCCTAGTGCAACTGACAACATCTAAGTTGATCACCTAATAGTGTGATACCTATGCAAAGAGGTCACTTTACTGTACTGTTTAATGTTAGCTGCACTAAGGGGGGTAAGAAAAAAACGCTCCTATGTTACGTTATCAAGGTCATTTTAAAGTCACCACACAAACTGTGCTTTACCACATTATAATTTGTCTTTATGCTTTTTTTTTTTTAACAGCGGTGTACTGAGAAGTGTCCAAACCGAGGAGCTGTGTGTGTCTTTAACACACAGGCAAAGATAAGGCGAGGAGGAGCTCCAGCATCACACGCTCGTCCGCGTAAACGGGAGGCTGTTAGACGCACTTGGATTACCGGGCAGTCAACTGTCACCGCTCATAACGGCTACAGACCGGCGCCCTGCCTCGCGCTCCTCTGCCGCGCGCACCGCCGGCCACTAATTCATCTCATAAACAAGGTAGACACCTGGGCAAAGCAGCAGCAGTAATATTTGATTGATTTTTTTTATTGTGGGTTTTATCTCCGTGGATGAAAAAAAAGTTTTTTGTTTTTTTTCGTTGACACTGCGTTAAATAGGAGAACAGAAACTGGGAATCAGTCTCCGTGGAAGGACAACACACCGGGAACCTCCTCAACATCTGTTTCCTCCACTGGGGCTGCAGTTTCTCCAATCTGTGGAAGTAAGGTAAGTCACTAACTCCTAACCTTTATTATAGGTATTAACTTCTTTAAATTGCCTTTGGAAAAGGCGTAAAGATTAGTCAGGTATAAGAGGATAATATTTTCAGTCAGTTTAAATAGGCTACCAATTTTCCTTTTCCATGTCTGTTTTATTCACTGATGAAGAACTCGATGGGATTTGCATGGGATGACCGTGACCGTTGACGCAATATGAATTGGATTTTGATGTCCCCGTGTTTATGGTGTAAATTGATTATTATTATTATTATATTATAGCGCGTCATGGGGACGTTTAAATCTTAAACACCAGCTTAGCTCAAGATTATTTTAAGCAAGGGGAAAAAAAATACAGAAAATGCAGAATGTGACTCACACTCATGTTGTGCTGTACATGTCTATGACTCTCTATTTATATGGTTAAAAAAGTAAAGGAAAGGCTGAAAAGAGTCCCCATTATGATACTGTAAGGAGTGTCTGCAATATAGGAGTGGAGAAAATCTCATCCAGTGTTACTGGGGCTTCTGAAGGAATCCTGATGCTCTGAGTGTTTAATGCTCAGGGATACCACAGTCAGCTTCTGCAGATCGGAAACTCATTGGTGGACCAATGCAAATTTATAGAGGGATTTTCAATAGTGGAGCACAAACTGCGTATTCAAGGCAAATCTATCCTCTATTTGTAGCCAAAGAGATCTGAAGAAGAACACACACATAAACACATACGCAAACTCATGATTGTGTTGTATCCATACAGACTCCTGCCTCTCTTCAGAGAAATGAACAGGAACAAATTGGAGAGGCAGCTGTAATGTTCCCAGAAATAAATATAATTTTACAAACCAATAAACACACATGCATATACACATATTAAAGGTCATTGCATGCAACCTTTCTGCACTTGTTGTATTAATCACTCTGCCACACTTTATAAAAAAAAAGCACAGTGTCTGTGCGAACGGCGAGACTGAAGCTGCTTATTTTGCTTTGCTCTCGGAAATTGCCGTTGACTTTGTATGAGTTATATTTTCATGAGCCAAATCCACCCAGGACTTCTTCTCTCCTCCGTGAGAATTTTTGACACCGCTTTAAACCACCCTCATGCATTCACCCTCATATTGATTATATTAGCAAATTCATGGAAGAGGGAAAATAAGCATTCCTACATGGACCGAGCGGCCCACAAGCCGGAAACAAAATAGGCCAAAATCATCGCTGAATGCTGCCTGCCTCACTTCAGTATCCAGTTGTGGCAGAAGCAGAGCAGAAAGTGAAGTGCCTGCCTTGAAGATGTCTGCGGCTAAATTGGGATTCTTCTTTTGGGGATTCCTTTGCATTTACGTAACCGTGTTTAGAGTAATGGTTCGTGTCGTCTGGGGGGTTTATTAGAGGCAATGGTGAGTGAAGTGGCTTCAGTGAGCCGATATGAATGTGAAGAACCAGAGCTTCTCAGCACATACAGAACGCTTGATACACTGTGCAGTTCAGAGGAAGACAAGAATAGCAACAGACACACAGTCAGGCTGTCAAAGAAAGAGAGACAGAAAGTGCACAGAATGAGAAAGACAGCAATGGAGAGATACGTGCAGACATGCAGGCAGGCGGGCTGCGATATGTGCGGCACCCTGCAGTGAATTGGGGCTGGGTTGACAATGTGTCTGGCTGCTTTCTGAGACCCAGAGATAAGTTCGTCATTCATCCACCCACACGCTGTCTGTCTGTCTGTCTGTCTGTCTGCCTGTTTGTCGGTTGGTCGGTCGGTCTGCACGCCTGTCTGGTCAGAGATGGGTAAGCGGGTGAGCGAACAAGCAACAAATTTGCTCCCCATTTCAAGGGATGGGAGCGAGAGGTCTGAGGGAGAGAGAGAGAGAGAGAGAGAGAGAAAGAGAGAAAGCAAAGACAGGCCTTCAGAGGGGTGTGTGTGCACTGTGTGTGTTTGATTTCAGTGATCAAGTGTTTGAGGAACAGCTTTTTAAAGCTTTACGTCCGAATGAAAGAGGTGGATGAATGGGGGAGAAGCACGGTTATGTGTCTTCTTTGTGCGTTCGTATCTTACTTTGGACGACAACGCTCATTGTTATTCACCACGGGAAAACACCGTTTACTACACAGCGAACGAATGCAAATACACGACCGTACACACAAACATCTCCCGTCTTCTTTCCTGTCTCACTCACTTTCTCTTACACACACACACACACACACATGCACACACACACACGCGCGCACACACGCACGTACGCACAGTCATGTAATTGAGACCCATCACTCAGGGAAGGTCAGCAGACTATTCACTGCCTGTTGTTATTCCTCAATATTAATCAAGCTAATGCTCCATGTTTTATTCATAGGTACATGCAATGACCCTAAATGTCACTTTTCTCTCCGTCTGAGCATCGTAATCGACGTGTTCATGAACAAGACAACGCTCAGTTTCCTCCTTAGGGCTAACAATGGCCCTAATCCTGCGGCCTTACACTTTCTTGGCAAAACAAACCTAAAGGAATCAAGAATTAACATGATCCAGCTCCAAAGTTGTCAATGTGGAAAACTCTCTTCTTTGACCCCATGATGTCTTAAGCCAGTTGGATGATGTGGGCAATTTTGTTGTCACGCAATTAACTACTTGCGTTGGCTGTTTCGCAAACCTTGAAAGAGGAGCCAGGCTAAATGTCCTGAGAAAATGCATCATTTGGACTAACGCGAAAATGTCACAAATTAAAGTTAGAGTTCCCATGCTAGCAAGCCATACATCACTCGATGAAAGATCCAAGGGTGTTCTTTAACCTTTTCCAGTACATAATGAATAGGACTGTGTTGTCATAGCCAGAGGTCAGGCTTTACTTCTTCATTTCATGCTACCAGAGATGTATCATCCAGCAGCGCACAGCTGGGTCTGTGTAAAATGATAAAGACATTAATAGAGTGGCAAAAGACACTGAAGTTTACTTAGCTAAAACTATTGAGCAAGCTGGACTGGTCATAGGATGTGATTAAAGTTAAGTGTTACAATATGTGCGGCACAGCTGCAGCCGCTCTGTACAATTCTGTCCATCTTTCATGCTACTCCGCTTTCACTTCTGATGAGTGTGAGTCAGATATGAACTTTATTCAGGCAAATGCTCTTGTTCATGATTTTCCATGAAAACAAAGGGATCTGCTGTTGTAAAATTTAATTTCACAGTCATCTGTTGCAGTTATCTCTGCCCCGTTAAGCTGTTTACCAAGCGCAGGTGGCTGGATGAGCAGTAATAGAAACTCGAAACATTTGCATGATTTGTGACCGAGCCCGGCGAAGACTGCAGGAAAGAGATGCACATGACATTAATGAAACAAAAAGGTCTTTATTTCAGCGTTAATACAAATGGAGACGTGTATTCTCTGCAGTGACACACCTCCTGCAAATAGTGCTGCATCTACAGCCCTGCACACAGTGAACAGCTACAGTACTATCAATAGGTGGTGCTAGAATAGAGTGAATGGCTGATGGCTTAGTAACCGCAGGTCTATACAACAGAGATGGCAGAGTAGTGTGTGTGTGTGTGTGTGTGTGTGTGTTCATGACAAAGTGATACAGACGGATCCATTTCTCATGGTTTAACATTTTCATAGTAATGTCTTTGTGTCTCCTCTGGCCGGTGATATCTTCCCTTCCTCGAATACCTGAATTCAATTTGCAGCAGCGCTGCTCAAGATGCTTCAGCCGCACAGCTAAAGGCAAAATGTGCTCCCTTACCACCTTGACTGATCGAATGTTCCCAATCTTAAATCATCAGGAACTGTTAGCAAAGCCCAGGAACGTGCAGTTCCACATCACCTTTCTATTATTTCTACTGTGTTCACCTCACAGGTTTACCTTAAGGTCATAAAAATCACATTATAGGTTTGAAAACATAAAAAGCAATTTGTTGAAATGACAGAAAATTCTTTGCTGTGGCTTTTACAACTTAAAAACAAACAAAAGGCAAGGTAGCTCATTATCGAATAGCTGTTAGTTCATGCTAAGACTTTAGTCTGATTAAAGCCTCACTGCAGCTGTTAATTCAGGCCTTTTACTGCAAATTCAATTCTCCAGAATGGATTCTAAATTTCCACCAGACAAATAAAGCTGTATAGCTGTATATTCAAATCTTCCATTAATGCGTACTTTAACAAGTGTTTCCTTGTAAACAATAATTAACAATTACTCAGTTGAACGTGTAAAGCTGATAACAAGCTCATTTGCTCCGAACACAACACGAAGCCTTCACTGGGTGTGTCATAGCGGCAGTCACATGCCATTGCAAGTCCCTTGGGATAAGATGAGAAAGCCTCATGTGTGAATATACCATAGACTATATTGCAAAAGTGAAATTCTGTGATAGCACCTTTTAAAGCCAACTTGCCGTAGACCCATCTCTATCCTTCTGGATGACTTTGACAGTAAATGGAACAAACACGTCTGTATAAAGGATCCAATTAGCATGCTAATGTCCACATGCTTCTATTCTCTGTAGGAAACAGGAAACAGGAAATAACACTTGTCTAATTTTTTTTCTTTTCATCTTGCTCATAATTACTGTTCGTTTGCTCAGATTCTCCTGGCAGTTCTTCACTTTCATGCTTCTTTACCACATCTACTTTTCTCTCAACTATTTATGTGATAGTATTTCATGTTGTTGTAGAGTATCTCACTTCATCTTCATAGTGTCCTCACCTCACGCTTCTCCTTTCTCATTTCTCTGTACTTTCTTTCCTTTTTTGTCTATATCAGAGTTGTGGCTGACACACCGACCTGCCTCCTCTTATGTGATTTCATTTTCTCTGTCTCTCTCTGTCTCTCTTCATCTCTGTCCTCTGTTGCTGCTCTGTCCTTTCACTCTTTGTCCTTCACAGTTAATTGCATTCTCAGTCTCCCTTGTCTTTTGCCCATCTCTCTTTTCCGTCTATCTGACATTTTCTCCAAATCTTTTCACCTTCTCTCTTCCCTGTGTTTGGTTGGAAAACACGGGAAAACCCTGAGGGTTTG